CCAGAGTGCTCCTTGGAGGCCAAGATGGCTAGGCTTCGTCTCTCATACTTTGGACACATTGTCCGGAGAGAACAGTCGCTGGAGAAGGATGTCATGCTGATTGATGGCGTCGGTAGTGAGGTTGGCCCAGGATCGGACATTGTTTCATTCTGCTGTGCATGGGGTCACTATGAGTCGATTCCGACTTGATGGCACCTGACAACAACAACAATATAGGGCATACAAAGACTACCAAACATTTGAAAATTAAACAAACATAAGTAGACAAAATAGATGAATGGGACATACTGAAAATTAAAAACTTAAGTGTATCAAAAGACTTCATCTAAAGAGTAAAAAGGGAGCCCACAATATGGGAAAAATCTTTTGCAATGACACATTAGACAAGGGACTCATTTCTAAAATATATAGGAACCTACACAACCTCTACAAGAAAAGGACAAATATTGAAAAGGACAAGCAGACCAGCCTGAAGTGGCTAAAAGAACAGAAGATACTTCTTGAAACAAAGACCAACAGGAGAAATCAAAAACACTAACGGAAGTCCTACTGACTACTACATGAACAAGCAAACTGCCCACCCAGGAGACATCAAGGCAAGCAGTCGGGTCCCCTCAGGGCAAACCCCCTTCCAAGACTAAGACTCAAGGGGAATATATGAGCAGGCATGTACTCTTACTGGTGACCACACTGGTCACCGATAAGGGGAAGTCAGGGAAAATCAACAATGAAGCTGCTAGCTAAGTCCAACCACGTTCAATAGACTACTGTGGACACGGGTGGAGACCTGGTTGGCCAGAAGGTTGTCAAGACCTGGGGACTCCTGGGCCCAGAGACAGTGACATACCCACAGAGGATTAGAGTGAAGAATGAAGCATCCAGCTGATAAGAAGAGAGTGCATATGCATAAGAACACCCACACTTGCAGATAATACCCACCTGACCTGGCTTCAATGACTTGATGATCAGAACTCAACTAGAAGAGGAAAGAAAAGGAAAAAAAAAGAGTAATCTGATACAATTTGATGAACTTGACCTACATCTATGGATGCAGTAGCTCAAAAGAGGGAACAAATCTTTACAGCAAGAATCATTCCCACCCCCTCCATACACAGGGTAGACAGGGATGGGCAACTTGGACATTGGCTACCCAAAATGACGGACCTACAAAGGCAAGAGGTGACTGCCTTACAAGCTTTCAAAAGGAAGCCTAGATCCAGAGGGCAAGGAAGAAGGTAGAATCTACACTGAGTAGTATCCAATCTGTCTGGTGGGACTGATGAAAGGAGATGGAGGTAGCACTCTTATGGTAAAACAGTGAATAATTACTATCAGGACTGACTATGAGGGTTGGAAACGTGAAGGCACACGTTTTGTAGCAGGAAAAGAAAAAGATAAATAACACAATTAAAAAATGAGCACAGGACATGAACAGACACTTCTCCAAGGAAGAGATCCAAGCAGCCAACAAACATATGAAGAAATGTACGTGATCACTAGCCATCAGAGTGATGCAAATCAAAACAACAATGAGCTATATCATCTCACACCAGCAGTAACAGCAACGATCAAAAACGTAGAGGACAATAAATGCTGGCAAGTTTGCAGAAAGACTGAGATGCCCCTGCATTGTTGGTGGGATTGCAAAATGTTCCAACTACTCTGGATAGCAATACAGCGCTACCTCAGAAAGTTGGAAATAGAAATAACTTATGATCCAGCAATTCCTCTACCTGGTATTTACCCAAAAGAAATATGAGCCATAACACGAGTAGACATATGAACACCAACGTTCCTAGAAGCACTCTTTACAACAGCAATAAAATGGAGACAGCAATGGAAGAATGGATAAATAAACTTTGGTACATACACACAATGGAATATTATGCTACCATGAAGAATCAAGGAAGGTGCAAGCCACTGCATAACATGGATGAACCTTGAGGACATTATGCTGCTTGAAATCGGTCAGGCTACCTAAAATAAGGGCGTGATAGCGACACAAAGTGACTGGCTTACTAGATTTCAACAGAGAGTTTAAGAGTATGGGGGTGAAGAAAGAATCCCCACTGAATAGTTTTCATCTTGTCTAGATGTGTCTGTTGAAGACAGATGAGAATAAGATTCGTATAATTCAACAGTGAATAATTGTTATCATGACTAATTGTGACTGTCACAATTGTAAAGGCAGAAAGAAGTTTTGTACCAAAATTGTTGTTGTCAGCTGCCATCAAGTCGGAACCGACTCATAGGGACCCCAGGCACAGCAGAACGAAACAATGTCTGATCCTGGGCCAACCTCACTACCGCCGCCACACTCGATGCCATCAAGGATGCCACCTGGCTAATCCATCTCATTGGGGGTCTTCCTCTTTTTCTCTGACCCTCCATCTTACCCAGCATGACATCCTTTTCCAAGGAGCACTCTGGCTACACTTCTTCCAAAACAGATCTATTGGTTCTTTTGGCAGCCCGAGGCACTTTCAGTATTCTCCTCCAAAACCACAATTCAAAGGCATCAATTCTTCTACGATCTTCCTTATTCACTGTCCAGCTTTCGCATCCATATGAGGTTATTGAAAATACCATGGCTTGGGTCAGGTGTACCTTAGTCCTCATGGTGACATCTTTGCTCTTCAACACTTTAAAAAGTTCCTGTGCAGCAGATTTGCCTAATGCAATACGTCGTCTGATCTCTTAACTGCTGCTTCCGCAAATGTTGATAGTTGATCCAAGAAGAATGACGTCCTTGACAACTTCAATCTTTTCTCCGTTGATAAGAATGCTGTTGATTGTTCCAGTGGTGAGGATTTTTGGTTTCTTGACATTGAGATGTAATCCATACAGAAGGCTGTGTTCCTTGATCTTCATCAGTAAATGTTTTAAGTCCTCTTCACTTTCAGCAAGCAAGGTTGTACCATCTGTATATCGCAGGTTGTTAACGAGTCTTCCTCCAATCCTGACACCACACTTTTCTTCATAGAATCCAGCTTCTTGTACTATTTGCTCAGTATACAGGTTGAATAAGTATGATGAAAGAACACAACCTTGTCGCACACCTTTCCCAATTTTAAAACATTCAGTGTTCCCATGCTCTGATCCAGGTACAGATTTCTCAGAAGTACAATTAAGTGTTCTGGAATACTCATACTTTTCAATGTTGTCATGATCCACACAATCGACAGCCTTTGCATAGTCAATAAAGCATAGGTAAACATCCTTCTGATATTCTCTGCTTTCAGCCAAGATCCATCAGACATCAGCAATGATATCTCTGGTTCCACAGCCTCTTCTGAATCCAGCTTGAACCTCTGGAAGTTCTCTGTCAATGTATGATTGTAACTGTTTCTGGATTACCTTGAGCAAAACGTTACTCACTTGAGATATCAAAGAGATTGTCCGATGATTTCCGCATTCTGTTGGGTCACCTCTCTTTGGAATGGGCACAAATATGGATCTCTTTCAATCAATCAGTCGGTCAGATAGTTGTCTTCAAAATTTTTTGGCACAGATAAGTGAGTGCCTGTTCTGCCGCTTCACTTTCTTGAAAGATTTCAATTTTCATTCCATCAATTCCTGGTGCCTTGTTCTTTGCCAATTCCTTCAATGCACTTTGGACTTCCTCCCTGAGTATCACTGGCTCTTGTTCATATGGTTACAAAAATAGGGGTTGGTTAATCTTACAGTTCAGAAACAGAGGACCCTAGGACCATCAAGGGAGAAGAACACAGGCAGAATGTGGGACCTTATCCAGAGAAGCAGCGACATCAGAGACGGAGGCAGAGATGTGGTCAGGATGGGGAGCGGCTGAGGACTCTAGATTCATGGGAAGAGAGGGACTAAGAGCTAGTCCAGGAGGCAGACTTGCAGAATGTGCTCTTTGGAGTTGTAAATTATTATATATGCCTGAGTGGTTTTTTTTTTTTAAAAAAAAAGCTAAAGTGAACAGAGAGAAATACTGTTAACTGATGGTACATGGAGGGGTCATAATCATTGTGATGAAACAGGGTACATGATTTGTTGAATGTAAAACTGATGATCTGCCCTGTAAACTTTCAGTCACTCCACAATAAAAACTTAAAAACAAAACAAAACAAAAAACTTAAGGCAACTGAAGTAAGTGACACACTAAAGGATAAATATTATGTGATCACATTTATATGAAATATCCAGAATAGGCAAATGTCTGTTAGTGGCTCCAGGGGTTGGAGGAAGGAAAGAATGAGGAGTTAATGCGTAAGGAGTATGGAGTTTCTGCTCGGAATGACCTAAAACATTTGGAAATCATAGTGATAACTGCAGAGCATAATAACTATAAAGGCTAAGAGAACACTTAAAAATGGTTAAAACTGCAAAAACTTTTATTATATATATTTGATCAACAATTTAATTTAACAAGAAAAAATGAGTTCCAACTTGATGACCATATTAAACTTAGAAAAAACATTTACATAGTTCATTTTGAAATAAAACATTATTAAGCCACTCTTTCAGCATAGCTGTTTTGTTTCTTCAGAATAGCAGGTAAAATACCTTATATGGACAAGATAATACTGAGATGAAAGAACTACATTTCTAAAAACATCTCAAATAATTAAATTATTTTATACAGGAGGAAATTATTAGCTAGTGTTTGAAGGTTGTGTTGGGCAAATTAATACTCAAAACAGGTGTAAATTAAGTCCATACTTACAGGTAGATAATGTCTGAATATATAATTTATTTTGCCAGCATTGCTTTTTGATATGAGTTGTTGATGAAAAGTGGAAAATTCTTTATGGCCAATCTCAGAGTAGAAAATCACCACTGGACTTTCTGGATTAGATGAGGGGTATCTGTGATCTCCTTTGAATAATAATGGTTTGGGTCTGGAAAATAAATATTAAAAGCTTAAATTTTTAAACTTTAAAAACTGTACAAAATGTAAACTATGACTATGATAATTTAAGATGATAACACAAATATATAACTTATCCTATTTATACTGGCATCAGATGAGGTACCTTACCCTAGGTTTGCTACCCTAGCAAAACAGCAAAATAGATATGTATTGTATTTATCCATAGGAAACCTATCGTTAAGTACAAAAGGCAGCCTATGAATTATCAATCTAAAGTTCAAATTAAGCTTGCAAATTGTCTTTAAAATACTGTACTGTGTGAAACTGATATCCTGAAAGATCATTATCATCAATATAATTAATCTGAGACACTACCTTTAATAACACTATATTCCTTTCTTTACTAAGCAAATAACAAAGTCTATGCAATAATATCTCAGACAGAGTCATTACTAAATGATAACAGTAATGCTAAGTACTCCTATTACCTCTATTTTAAAATAAGAAGAAAAAAAAAATTAAGTATTTTTCCCAAGTTCACGAAACTATTTTAAACGGTAGAGGTGATATTCAAATCTAGTCAGTCTGGTTCCAGAATCCACACTATAAACCATTACACTTGCAGAAAAAAAAAATTTTAATCAGAAAATAGACTTAATACAAGAAAGTACAATAAAATGCCTGACATTTATTTAAAGAAACATACAATATACCTTTCAGATGCTGTGAGTAGAAGAGTCTCAAGAGTATCAAAATCACAAGTCGTCTTTCCATGGACTGAAAAAAATGAATTGCAGTCTTCTGGTGGAGGTTCATCAGCTGCTATCTGTTGTCATGGGAGACACAAATGAATGTTTTTAATAATTTCTAATCACAGGTATAATAAAACATACAAAAACAGATAAAGGAATTTTAACACAAACTTTCTGAAGCCCCCTCATACATATTCATACACAAGCATGTGAAAGTTGCATAATGAATAAGGAAGAATGTAGAAGAATCGATATATTTGAATTATGGTATTAGTGAAGAATACTGAAAGTGGCAGAGACTCCCAAAATAGCAAACAAATCTGTTTTGGAAGAAATACAGACAGAATACTCTTTAGAAGGGAGACTGGGGGAAAAAAAGGGTGTAACTACAAAGGTAAAATTGTAAGTAGCACAATAAGGTAATTCAAGGATAAAGTTGAATGAGACATATGTTTGTGTTTAAGGTGAAATGCATAAACACCAACATATAATGAAATATGTTAATCTGAACTTCACTGAGCTACATTATGAATATGAGTATAATGAGTTAGGAAACAGAAAGGACAGGTACTGGTACCTGCATAGGTACGGTGTTGTAGGATAAGCACTGGACTATTAAGCACAAGGTTGGCAGTTTAATCCACCAGTCACTCCTCGGAAAACCTACACAGGATCTCTATGAGTTGGAGACAACATTAAGATGTCCTTTATTTTGAATGCATGAATTGTAAAAGAAAAGGGGAGAAATGGAAAGCTTGCTTTGAAAAACTGCTACAAAAATTATTTGGAACCTAGGACCATCAAGAAAGAAGAGCATGAGAATGTAGGACCCTATCCAGAGAAGCAGCGACACCAGAGATAGAGGCAGAGATGATGGCATGGGGAGATAGAGCAGCCGAGGACTCTGGGATCATGGAAAGAGAAAGGCTGTGTGCTGGTGGCCAGGGGGCAGGCTTGCAGAATGTGCCCTTTGGTGGTTTAAATGATTATATATTCCTGAGTGTTTGAGTGTTTTTGTATACATCTAAAAAAAAACAAAACAAAAAAACAGAGGGAATAGAAGCAAATACTGTTGAATGATGATGCATGGAGGGGATTGTAATCATTGCAATAAAATGAAATACAATAGGATCAGTATAAAACCAATGTTCTCCCATGTAAACTATCACTAAATTCACAATAAAAACTTCTAAAAAAAGTATTTAGAAAATTGTAAGTACAAAAAAATTAAAAGGACAGAATAAATCAATCACCTAGCTTCAATAATTACTAACTTAATGGCCAATCTTATTTCCTGTAGAAACCATCCCTATTATACCACACTAAACTAGATTACTTTAAAAGAAATCCCATATAACATTTAATTTCATTTGTAACTGTTGTAACTATTTTAGTATATATCAGTATCTTAAAAACAATACCATTCTCATACTTTAAGAAAACAGGATTCTGAAAAGATGGCAACTGACAGTAGTTTTTCAATTTTCCCAAATCTTCTCAGTAAAACAAACTAAATTTGCATGAAAACTATGTGGAAAGAAATCCCAGGGATTTAAAAAAAAAAAAAAAGATAAATTCTAAGGATTATCAGTGTTCATGCATAAGAAAGGAAAAAAAAAAGGGGGGCTAATGGTAGTTCTGAGTATAGGAGAACCTCAGAATAGCCAAAAGAACGGCCAGCTGGTTAAACTCAATCCAATATCAAGTGAGTGGAAGGAGTCCATGAAAGATTTTAAAGGAATAGAGACAATCGAGACATTATGAATTCTAAAAACTCACAAGCCAAGATCAAAATCCCACTATGAATGAAAAACACTGGGACTGGGATAAAAATTGAGCAAAAGAGAGAAACACAGACAATGGAAGAGAAAGTCCAAATAAAAGTACAAAAGAACAGGGCCAGGAAACCTCAAAAAAAAGCTGTTGTATTTATCAATGTTACAAAAACACAACAGAAGAGGGAGCCCATGTCTTCCTCTAAAAACTCAAGAAAATAATTTCACATAAAACTGAGCAGACGGAGAGCCTACTACCACCAAAACAGAAAAGCTAGTAGGGGAATGTGTCCTTGGAGCTACGGTTCCTATATTGTAAAGCTCCTAGATCCAGGGAAAGATTATGCAAAAAAACACATGAAGATCCCAAAGAATGCTGGGCCTACTGATGCTGAAAGAAGACAAGGATCTTTTTCCAGAGCCAGTGCTCTAAATTCGGGCTTCTAGCTTCCTGTACAGTGATAGAACAATTTTTTTTTGTTAGAGTCAAAATTAAAAGAGAAAGTAAAAACTAAGCAGAAAAGAATGAATGCCAAATTCCTTACAAAGCTACTACAGGAAAGCAAAAAGGATCACAATGACAATTCTATATACCATAAAAGGTGCTCTAGTGGTATAGTGGTTAAGCACTCAGCAGCCAATCAAAAGGTTTGTGGTTCAAACCAACCAGCTGCTCAGTGGGAGAAAGATACAGTAGTGTGCTTCCATAGAGACTATAGTCTTGGAACACCCATGTTGTTGTCAAGTGCTATCCAGTCAATTCTGACCCATAGCGACCCTGTATAGGGGTTCCAAGGAGCAGCTGGTGAGCTTGAACCACCGATCTGCAGTTCAAACAGTTTTGCAACAGTTTTACCCTATCCTACCAATCTGCAGAATTACTCTTGAGTCCAAAGGATCTCAACCACAATGGGTTTAGTTTGTATGTTACTGATTTTTATAAACCAGTGCTACACAAGATAAATCTGCAATGTTCTACCTCTGTGCAAATTTTTCATTTAACTTTTATTTTTAAACTGCCACAAGTGCCTGGTGACTAATATATGCAATAGCACAGCTATTGTCAATAAAAATCACATAAGAAAAACATATCCAGAAGTCAGATCAAAACATGTAAACAATTATTTCAAAACAAATTAAAAGGCATTAAGTACATCCTAAGTCAGAATTAGAAAAACTCAGAAATGAAGTGATAGAACTCAAGTAAAAAATAAAAATAACAGAACAATCATTTTAGGAATAAAAATTAAACTAGAAGGAGCATGAGAGCGATGATAAAAATTCAAGTAATAACTTGAGAGAAAAAGGTAATGCCTTCAGAGAAATAGATGATGAAAAGAAATACATGAAGAGACAAAAGAGATACAAGAAAGTGTGACATCAATTGATACAGTCTAATATGATTCCACATATAAATTATATGAATTCTTGAAGAAAACTTTTTAAAGCCCTGCTTCTTTTTTCTTTTTAAAGAGCCTCAGGACATAGGTGATTCTGAATCTTGGGACAGAAATGGACAACATGAGCCTGAAACCACCCATCAGATCAGACAGCAGGAAAGCAACCAATGTGGGAGGGAGTTTACAAACAACCCCATTGACCCAAATGGAAACTTCTGAGTCTTAATGAGGATAAAATGGAATGATATTCACTGTTTAAATTTACAAGTTCATAATGATTTAAAAAAAAAGAAAAAACCCTACTTACATTGAAGTCCTGGTGTGGCCCTGCAGGATAATGCACTGGACCTTAAGGTCAGTTTGAACCACAAGTTCAGCAATTCAAACCCTTTTGGGAACCCTATACAAGGTCACTATGGGTCAGAACTGACTTGACAGCACTGAACAACAACAAATTGTCAAAGTAAAAGGATGTAGTAACTCAAACTCATTCTGGAAACAAATGAAGTATGTATTCTGCCTTACCTATAAGCAATACCACTAAACACCACCAGATGAGAATATGTGACTCTTATTCTTTTTAACTATGCTACAAAAAATGGAAAAGAAATAACATAAGGAGAGAGTCACCTTTTTACAACCCCCAAGTGGAATATGTATGACACAGTAATGACAGATCAAATTGCTTTTTTAAAAGAGAAGAAACCAGACATTTGTTGTTGCTGTTAGGTGCAATCAAGTCGGTGCCAACTCATAGAGACCTTATGCACAGCAGAACGAAACACTGACCAATCATGGGCCAACCACACTACCGTTGCCACACTTGAGTCCATCGATGCTGCTTCTTGGTCAATCCATCTCGTTGGGGGTCTTCCACTTTTTCTCTGATCTTCCACCTTACCAAACATGATATCCTTTTCCAGAGACTGGTCCCTCATGACAATATGCCCGAAGTATGAGAGACAAAGTTTGGCCATCCTGGCCTCCAATAAGCACTCTGACTTCACTTCTTCCAACACAGATCTGTTGGTTCTATGGGCAGCCCATGGCACTTTCAATATTCTCCTCCAACACCGTAACTCAAATGCGTCAAATCCTCTACGGTCTTCCTTATTCACTATCCAGCTTTCGCATCCATATGAGGTTACTGAAAATACCATGGCTTGGGTAAGGCGCACCTTAGTTCTCAAGCTGACAAATTTGTTCATCAGCACTTTAAAAAGGTCTTGTGCAGCAGATTTGCCTAATGTAATACATCGTTTGATTTCTTGACTGCTGCTTCCATAAGTGTTGATAGCAGATCCAAGAATGAAGTCCTTGACAATTTTTATCTTTTCTCCGTGGATACGTATGCTGTTTATTGGTTCAGTGGTGAGGATTTTTGTTTTCTTTACACTAAGATACAATCCATACCGAAGGCTGTGCTCTTTGATCTTCATCAGTAAATGTTTTAAGTCTTCTTCATTTTCCGCAAGCAAGGTTGTATCATCTACATATCACAGGTTGTTAATGAGTCTTCTTCCAATCCTGATGCCACGTTTTTCTTCATAGAACTCAGCTTCTCGTATTATTTGCTCAGCATACAGGTTGAATAAGTATGGTGAAAGAACACAACCTTGTCACACGCCTTTCTTGATTTTAAACCATTCAAGTGTTCCCATGTTCTGTTCAAACAACTGCCTCTGGGTCCAAGTAAAGATTCCTTATAAGCACAATTAAGTGTTCCAGATACTTCACAATGTTGTCCATAGCTTATCACGAGCCACACAATCGAAAGCCTTTGTGTAATCATAAAGCACAGGTAATTGTCTTTCTGATGTTCTCTGCTTTCAGCCAAGATCCATCAGACATCAGCAATGATATCCCTCGTTCCACAGCCTCTTCTGAATCCAGCTTGAACCTCTAGAAGTTCTCT